AAGGGTAATTAAACTTACTTCCTTGAAATTTTATATAAATACAAAGATATTTGTTGTAAATTTTTGCCATTTCCAAAAAAAAAAAAAAAGCACAATTGCCCCTTCTAATTTAATTGGAGCCCCTCTTTACAAATTCCTATGGGCAATTTTGAGATTTTAAACGCATCTAATGGTACAAAATGTAAAGGAAGACTAAGGTATCTGTAATTATCATAAAGTTCAGGGTAGGTAAGTGCAAATAACTTCGAAAAGGAAAAGAAATCTTTCACTTTATTAAGGTCGCATTCCATGTTCCAACCAACGCTATCAGCTTACTGTCGTTCTCAACAAAGAGTTTCTAGCTTACAAACAAAGCTCGCAAGTTGGAACAAATATCAGCTTCTCTCCACTCGCCAATCGATTCTTGCTATTTAGAAGCAGCCCTTCAATCAACAATAATGTAAGTTCATTTCTACAGTTGATAATTGGTATCCAGATTGGAATGCCCAATTTTCTTTTGTGTGTCTTGAACTCATCTAATTTGATTTGATCCACTGCAGCCATTCTTCTTCAGATTTCCCTTTTATCCATGGAAGCTGCAGTTCACTATGGTGCTTCAGAGAGGAATAAGAAGAGAAAATTACCTGCAGATTATCAGATAAATGAAAGCTTAAGATTCCCCTTGGATGAGCTTAATCAAGATGTTCTAGAGCAGGTTCTTTCATGGCTGCCAGCGTCCAACTTTTTCCGGTATACTTCAGTCTGCAAAAGATGGAAATCGGTAGGAAATTCTGCAACTTTCAAGCTTGCCTGCTCTCAGATTCCATCAAGAGAACCATGGTATTTCATGGTTGACTCGCAAGCCCAGTTCAAAAACCAACCGATTGTTTTTGACACGGCGGAAAACAACTGGAAAAAGCTCAATTTTCCACTACCTCTGCTTCAGGAAGAACAGAGGGGCCGTAGTTTTGTTCCTGTTGCAGCATCAGGTGGTTTATTATGCTTCCTATCTTCTCCACCTGCTGACGAGTTTATTATCTGCAACCCTTTAACTGGAGCATGCAAAGAAATTGTTTCTTTGAATCCTGAGCTCAAGAAAAGCAAGATTCTTCGAGGGATTGGAATGATTTCCAGCCCTGAATCATACAGTCTTGTGCTGGTTTTTGGTGATCTTTCAGAACTTTCAATCAAAGTTTACAATTCAAGCATTCAACAATGGGAAGAGGAGACAATGCTGAAGAGAAAGCATGCTTCCCCTGCTGATGAGACAGAGGAATCCGAAGATGATCATGCAGTATATTTCTTGAGCAAATGTGGCAATGTTGTATCAACAAACTTGCAAAGAAGCCCATGTAAGCAGTATTCATCAGTTATAACTCAGAAAAACGGTGAAAAACTCATGTATTTCCTAAGCTCTTCAGGGACGATTGTTGCTTGCAACCTCACCAACAAGTGCTTCTGCGAATACCCGAGGCTATTGCCTGTATATCATGAGTACTCGATTGATCTGGTGGAGTGTGGCGGAGACGTTTATGTGGTTCTTCTCATGGAATTCCTGGAAAGCGCGAGCCTTCGAGTATGGAGGTTTGACGAAAAAGATCAATCTTGGCATCAGATTGCAGCAATGCCTCCGGCAATGTCACATGGATTCTACGGTAAAAGAGTGGATATAAACTGCGCTGGGGCTGGCCAGCAGATTCTAGTTTGCCTGAATTCTGCAGAGGTTTGCAGCTACTTTTTGTGCCATTTGATGGTCAATGAGTGGATTGAAGTACCTAAGTATCACATCAATGGTGACGCTAAAGATTTCATTTGTGCATTCACCTTTGAGCCTAGGATTGAAGCTTCTGTATGAAGAAGAAGAAGAAGGGGAAAAAAAATTTGCAGTAGACTTTAGATATTACACTTCTTATTCTTGTTTTTTTGTCCTTTTGGCATATTCTTTTTCCAGATATTACTTGTATTTTCTTGTAGATTTTTTCTTCTTTTTTTTTTTAAACATGTTTGGAACAACTTAATGCATTTACTGGTGATGTTATTATGATGATTTGCATACTCTTGGGCCATGCCTTGTGGCCTGAAAAGGGTTCAAGTATACTTGCATATCTTGGCTTTTGACAAGGAGATTAGTAGTGAGAAAGCAGGCATAGGATTCTTCTCCCAGCAGATGTTGAAAAAGAGAAAAGGTCAATCCTATCCTTTTTTTCTTAAGCACAAGTCAAACAAAAGGAATTCTTTACTATATTAAGTGAAGGGTTTACTTTTCACACACTGGGACTAATGTGGCATGGTTGGAGCATCAAAATATGACCTTTCAGGCATGTGATATAATCAAAGTACGATTTTTGTGTTGTTCCATGATCTATGAAGACAAATTATGGTATGAGTTGTTGAGGACCCTCATTGGAACCGAATTCTTTAAGTAGTGGTTTGTGTTCAATAATTGTATCAATGCTAATTTAAGGCCATGTAAATGAAAATAGTGGTTTGTGTTAACCAATTTTATGGTAAAACAAGTTTACTCATTCTTTATCAAGAAATTCAACAGAGACATTTTGGGGAGCCATAAAAGAAAAGTTCAGGCCTCACAGGGATTCCCTTTGGTATTGGAGTACAGAACAATTTGGTAGGTGTTTCTAGTAGATTTCTCTTTATCATAGTTTTCTAGTAGCTGCATTTGACTTGATGAACAGATTGGGATTATAAAGCCAGTGGTCACAAATGGGGATGAAGGGCGGGCGGTTGTCAGATCAATCATCCTTAAACGTTGTAATATTTTTTGAACCTTTTATAATTCTAAGTGAACTGTTTTTACACTCTTATAACAAAAGTATGATATTTTATTAATGTTCATGTGGATTTCATGTATAATAATTGCATCTCTGTTGTGAAGTTTTACAAGTAATTTACGTCGAGTTACAGCTTTTTCAAAAAATGTTACACTGTTCAGAACGATTGTCGTCCTTGCCCTGATCCCACAAATAGTAAATATAAAATTTGTCATTTTAGACAAGCATTTTACCCTGTTTTACAAAAAAAAAATTAACCATAATTAAGTCGACATAAATTCCAAAAATTTACCCTAGTTAAAGTGTGCACTAGATTTGTGCTACATTACATTGCAGCCCCGATGTTGTAGATAGGCTCTTGAGTCTTGATTGATTATCCTTACCCAAGTCATAATATTAGACACGACCTTTCGGAGCTTTAAGATGGGCCAGCACAAACCGACAAACCGCCTGAATGGCCCATATGCAAAGCACCGATCCAACAGGAAATTTTATACGAAACCAACCAGAAAAAAAACAGAAAGCAGATACGTATTCGGTTAATTGGGACAATTTCTTCTGTATAAGATTTTGATATTCATAAATTTTAGTGAAAAAAATAAAATTTGCCTCACTGAGATGATGGACTGGGATTTTTGAAATTTAAGCTTTTGAAGCAAGTCAAGAAAAATAGTTGATGCAGTTTGATTATTGAAATAGTATGAAAATGAAGAAAGCATATTTTACTATGAGTTCACTTATAAAAAAAAGACTGAAAATTATGATTTTTTCAAATGATTAATATAAGTATGAAATTATTGGGTTTGGCCCAATTGTCAGGGGAGAGATTTTAAATTCCTCCCTGCTGTAAAGTTCAGGATTCAAATCTTGGAATTAATAGTTAGTAGAAGGAAGGGTGCCAAAAGTTGTGGAAGGAAAAAAAAAATATACATATATATATATGTATATGTATATGTAGATCGGTAGGCAATTATTTAATACGTGTTTGTCGTGTACATTGAATGTCGCTTGGGATTTTCCTTTTATTATTTTGGATCAATGTTGTCATAATTTGGATTCAAATATTTGATGGATTGTCAGGCTACACAAAGGTAAGATTCTTTAAAGCTTCGCTCAGTTACATACTTCCAGTTAAGGCCCAACTTAGGTATGACTTTGGAAAGGCCCTTCCTGAAACCAGATCAATATTGGGCCAACCCAGGAAATTTAGTATAGTAGAAGTACCTTTTTCAGCTTGGCTTAGGTTGAATGAGAAGACATTTGGAAAGATTAAATTCTTACAATAATAATGATAAACATCCTATCGTTTCGATAAAAAAAAAAAAAAATCCCATTTTGGAATCTTACACAATATATCCATGAGTTCAAATATATTTAAGTCACTTACGTGAAATTAATAAAATTTCGCAATTGAAGTTTCAAAGTTTAGATTGTACATTGTCACTCTTTTATAACCCTAATTAGTCAAAATTCCTATTATATATATAAAATAAACATTTGTGTGTATAATTCTAAAGAATTTTTTATATTTTGTACATCTCAAAAATACGCTAAAACATATTTGTTCTTCTTAACTAACCATATAAACTACGTAATAAACTTTTGACTTATCATACATCATGATTTATTCTTCAATCTTTGAGAAATTTTTAAATTTTTATACAAGTAAAAAATATTATATCTTTTAACTTATATACATAATAGAAATGATGCGTATTATAATTTCTGCAGAGTCACACTTTAAAACTAATAAGGTGACTATATGTCAATCAATTTAGTGTATCATATGCAAGAATAAGAGTTAAAATAGGCATAAACATGGTACATGCTTTGAAAATTATAGTAAGTTTCTCTGTAATTTTAGTTTCGTAACTTTTTAAATATATTCATACTATTTTTAATCTATAATACAGGCGAATTGATATCCATAATTTTATCAAATTCATATTTTTTGGCCAAATTTTTAATCTTATTTTGTAGAAAAGTTCATAAAACATATATACCTATAATTCTATAATATAGTGTATTCTACATGTCCCTAATTTTACTAGCTCTGCATATAATTACCTCCTATGAACATTCTATGCTCCTTTTTTATGGAGCAAACCTTCTATATTCTTACAGCGAAAAAAGAAAAAAAAATTAAGAGCAAAACAAGTATTGGAATCCTAAATCCTCATAAAATAGGGCAAATATGAACCTGGGCAGTGAAATTTCGTCTTCATTTCCCCTTTAACAAAAAACAAAGAAAGAAAAGTAAAGAGAAAACAAGAATAGCCTACCGTTTTCTCCATTCTGCTGATTTCCTCTCTCACAAGAAACTCAACTCAACACCGTTTTATACCTCCCAACAGACAAAGCAACACACATTCATCTGGATTCTTCATCAATCCACAGAACCCAATCGGCAAATCCAAAGAAACCCATTTGGGGATTTTTAATTTCTGGCAATTTAAGTCAATTTTTTAGAAACTATTCGTTACAGAAATGGAGCAAGGGCTTGGTGGTAATGGCGTGGATATAGAAAAGAAATTGCAAGAATTGCAAAAGCAACTCTCGAAGAAAAGTATGTTTGAAGAAGCTGTCTTCTCCATCAAATCCCTTCTTCAACAGTATTACTCTTCTGCTTCTCCTCCTCTCAAGAATTTGGTTCGTATCATCAAATCCCCCTTCTTTTTTGGGTTTTCTTTTTTGGTTAGAAAATTTCTTCTCTTTTCTTGTTTTTGAAAGTTCTGCTATGCTTTTATGTGTCTTTACTTTTGAATTTGTGCCTAACCCAGCCAAGCAATGATATGGAATTGGAGAAAGGAGTATCTGGCCTGAGCGAAGTTATGTAGAAAGTGATTAAGCTAAAAAAGATGGGATTTTCAAGAACTGCCAAGTTAGTTAAAGAACATAGGATTTCTGGCAAAGCAATTGCGATATTGTGAAGCATGAGATGGGAATTTATTCCAGGAAATTCATTTACCATTTAATTGTGTTTCCGTATGGGATCAATTAGTGTGGCCTGAACATAGCAGGATAGATCTTTTGTAAAGCTTCTGTTTAAAATGTCTTTACATAAGAGGGCCTATATTTTTGTTACAAGTTCGATAGTTTCTTATGATATTCATATGTAACGTACGTTCAATTGCAAAGCATCTCAACCAGCTCAGGTATAGAAATTTTTCCCTATCCATGGTGTATGCAGTGTTAGTTCTCGATAAAAAGATGATGAGTTCGAGTGAATGTGATTAAGTGGTGTCCTAATTAGCAAAAGGGAAGAAGCAGAAGACTGAAGAGGTCACGGAAGCCTTAGTTGAGAGGTTTTCAGCAAGGTTTTCATCGGGATAAAATGGAAAAATTATGGTCCTTAGTTGAGAGGGATGGAAGGGAGAGGTCGGTGGAAGCCTTCCCTTTGCTTGTCTATAGTTGCTTCAATGTGGACGAGGCCTTAGAAATTGTGTTAGTTGTTTGTAGTTTGTCATCTGTAAACTATACGGTGGGAGAAGAACAAATTTGTTACTGAATCAATTGGCTTGTTTGGCTCTAGTCTTCTGAGTCCTTTCTTTTTGTGTTTCTTTTTTATTCTCTTTCTTTGACAAGACATGTCATTTCTAGAACAGTAAGATGTTTAAAGGTCCAAAGATTTTATACAACGGTTTACCATATAGGAAAAAAAACTATTTCTTAATCTTTCCTTGTTCTAATTAGGAAGAAGTTCCTTGGCATGTATTGGGGATCTGATCAGATGCTTTATATGCTGTGAAACCAATCGTGTTGTAGTTTTAGGAGGGAAATGGAACGCCAGATAATAAAACATGTCATATGCATAAGTGGAAATGACCTGCTGCTGACTTGTAGTTTAGACTCTTGACCGATATATTTCTTTTTTATCACTTTACAAGCTACAATTGTAGCTCCAATGTGGTTTGAATTCAAGGGTAAACTTTAGCATTTAAAGTTGATTGCTGCATTTTCGTATTGGTATGCCAGAGTGCTGATTTCATCTTTCTTCTGCTTTCAACTATCCCAGAAATTCAATATTCTTCCAGACTTGCAGCTGTCACTGCCCAAGCTGTGCCACCTACTAATGGTCTTCTCTGCTTTGTTATATTTTCCCCTTTTAGTTTTGCCCTTGACATCCTGGTGTAGAGCTAAAGACCTAGAGACTATTTTACAGCATAGCCCAGATCCGCACGACTTTTACTATTTCCCACCTTCAATAATCATCCTATTGCCAAATTCCCAAATATTATTGCCGCTGGATTTCAGTTGCAGTAGTTGATAGATTGGCTATAATGATCTAGTAAATAAAGATGATTGTCTCCTTATGCAAGTCCTTTTGCTACCATAAAAAAAAGAAATCATAGAGAATACATGCTGTTATTTAATCTAATATTCTTGGTGCACATAAGAGTTCTAAGCTGGTTGAGAATTTGTGGAGAAGTTGGAAAGTGGAACTATAGTTAATGTTCGGCCACTGTTGTGTAATATTGTGCTTCTTGGATTTGGTTTCTTGTTTCATGTTGGTATTTTAATGATGTTTCTCCATCCTTTTCTATGGTTCTTGTTTAGAGGTTAGATGGTGGTTCTTGGGGGAAGAAACGGTGATAGTGTTTGAGGATCATTTAATTGGGAAAGGTTGTGGTAAATAGGAAAGGGTTTTTCTTGCTCTTCAAAGACAAGAGGTTTAATGCTGTCACTTTTTACATGTAGACCAATCACATAACCATAATATGAGGAGGTTAAGTGGTACATCTCGTACAATTGTGCAAGCACTTATATACCAATTTGCTTGAGCTGTATGTTGTTCACTGGAGGATGAATCACTTACAGAATTATGGATACTTGTCTTGTCACTTGTCCTGTTCTGCTATGTTCTGGATTAAGATTCTGGGAGAAATACTTCATTTAAAATTTACATAAAGAATCAATACTGTACAGACTTCTTAGCTTTTCTGCTTAAAAGTTTTGTGCATAACAGAACATCACCCTATCAGTGTGCATAGTTGAAGAAGTTTCCTCTACATAGTCCTGTGCAATCAAGGACAATTTCTGACTGCATCACAAGGGTCCGAACCAGATGGAATGCTTGCCTCATATAAACAGATAATCTTTTTCCTTCTTATAATCCTTCTTAGTGCATTCAGCTAAAAGTTAGATTGCAATCTTGATTAAGTTTGGGTATCGTATAAGGTGGGTTAAGGTATCTTCTGTTGAAAGGCACTTCCCAAATTTGAGTGGGGATGTAAAATGTATCCCTCATGAAATTAGAGTGGATGAGACAAAATTCTTACTTAAACCTCCTTTGCTACTCAACATACTACCGTATTCTGGACACAATCTTGTCTGATGATGTATAAAAGCAATTATCGCATTGGAGAAGTCCTCTATTAAGAATTTTGTTTCAAGCATATACATTGTCTCTTCTTGAAAATATGGAATCGTAACTTTTGCAGTTCTACACTGTCGTATGTCGGGTTGCAACTGTTCTAAAGACAAGATATACGGCACCTGGATTTTGGAATGCTGGGCTGGGGCTTTTCCTGGAAGCCGAACACCTAATATCTGGAACTTCAGAGAGGAAACATTTGCAGAATTGCATTGCTCATGCCAGGGAACATTTGGGTGAAGCAGAGAATCGATCAGAAGATATGGGATCTGCTCAAACGAGGAATACAGGTCCATGAGCATGTCTTTTCTAACTTATGAGCATTCTACTGCCTGACTGCTCAATTGATTTGTTAGAATTGGCATTGGTGATGGTTCAAGTGTGTTTATTTGTTTTGATTTTTTAATCCAGGATTTTTATTTGAAGGACACCTCACAGTTGATCCTGAGCCTCCACAGCCTGATTGGCTGGTGCAATCAAACTTCTTGTCTGCTGCTGCTACCTTGTTTTCTGGAGAATCTTCTAATGAGCCAGTAGGCAATAGTAACACATCTGAAGAAGCAGCAAACCTAGTCCGGCAGTTGTTTGATAGACTTGATACAATGGTGCCAGTGGTATTCTTCTATCTTCTCCTTCTAAAACAATATATACTTGGTCCCATGTTTGTAATTATTCTTTGGGAAACAAATTAAAAAGCAGATAAAACATTGTATGTTCACTAGTCAGTGTTTAACTTTCTGATTTTTGAATAGTCTTCCCAGCCTTCTTTACATACACCCACTTGCTGGTGAAACCAAAAAAGAAAAGAATGAGACGTGCTTCTTCTCAAATAGGCAATGGTTATTTTTCATTTTCTGTGGGTTAACAGGAGGTCATAGACATCTATGGACTCAATTCTTGGAGGGTTACTCCCAGTCTAGTATGCAGATAATCTGTTTTAGAACATGATTTGGCTCCTCCTTAGTCATGCAAATGATACAAGAATACCTGCTTTAGCATCTGGTTTGCTGCCTTATCTTTTTTCCTTGGGATTTTGTCATTTACTGCAGGCCCGATTCTATATCTAAGCTTTGCAATCCTCTGTAAGAGCTGCTAATTGCTAAGTGGTGGCTTTCATGGTTGGCTTGAGATAGAATTAGGTGTGATATCTCTAGTCAATGTTGACCTCCACCTTATTACCCATGTTCTCTGTAGTTACAATCTGTTCCTGACCAACAAGTTATTTAATCAATACCTAGAACTAGCTGGGAAACATTTAATTGGGAGCAAAGTACTTTGATTGTCTGTTGGAGATGCGTGTTAACTTTGAACTTTTTCTTTTCTTTTTTTTGGGTGAATTGAAGATTCTGGAAGATGGACCTGCAGCACCAAGAGCCCCACCTGCAAGTAAAGAAGTGGTGGCAAAGCTCCCTGTTACAACTGTTACAGCAGATGTCTTGACCAAGCTGGGTGCGGATAGTGAGTGCGCCATTTGCACTGAGAGCTTGGTGCTGAATGACAAGATGCAAGAGTTGCCTTGCAAGCATATCTTTCACCCTCCCTGCCTTAAGCCCTGGCTGGTAAAAGCTTTTGCTCCATTATTACCATCTGTAGACAAATTTTGGCTTCGTTTTATGAATGAAATTTATCATTTGCATCTGATTTTCATTTTTATACAAAATTCTTCTTCCACAGGATGAACATAATTCTTGTCCAATCTGTCGGCATCAGCTGCGAACGGATGATCATGACTACGAAAGTTGGAAGGAGCGAGAGAAGGAAGCTGAAGAAGAGAGAAAAGGAGCAGCAAATGCTGTTCGAGAAGGGGTGTCCATGTATATATAGGTTAAACTGTTATTTCTAATGTTTTGGTATTCCAGTGTTCTTGTAATGGCATAAAACTTTTGTAGTAATAAACATTATTATTTTTTCTTGATTTGGTTATTGACTATTTCATGGCCTTCTAGTTAAATTCCATTGTTTCTTATTTCTAATTCAGAGATTTTATTATTTAGCAATACGCTGTCCCTGAGGGGTTGCTTCTTGTAAAGCAACACTATTTCAAACTTGATCTAGAATGCTAGAGACGACATGGATGATCTGGGGTTGTTTGGTTTTCACTGAATACTGGCTTTTCTCCTCTCGATATGCAGCAAAGAACTACAACTCCTCTATTTCTTGTTCATCAGCAAGAATGTGCAATCTGAAGCTAGCCATGAGTGACATGTCCATATATAGAGCATAGGCTCCTCCTAGCCCCTTTACCTCCAAGAATATGCTACAACCACAATAGGATTCTGTCAGCAATAGTTGATGATTTTTTATGATTTCATTGGCTTTTGTAGGTCATAATTGAGATCCCTTATGTCTTTATCCAAGTATTGGCGTTTACGGTAATCACATATCCAATGATTGGGTATTATTGGTCAGCTTACAAGGTTTTCTGGTACATGTACTCCATGTTCTGTACCTTGTTGTGCTACAATTGTGTCGGCATGACAATTGTCTCGATAACACCAAGCTATCCATTGGCTGCAGTTCTACAATCAGCTTTTTACAATATCTTCTACCTTTTTGCTGGATTTCTGATTCCTCGACCGGTAAGCGATTTAATTTAACTTTTAACAGATTATTCCATTTTGAAGTAAACTTCTAACTTCTTCTGCCACAATCTTACCCAGTATGTTGTTTCCATTCGCAGCAAATCCCAAAGTGGTGGGTATGGCTATACTATTTATCTCCTACATCTTGGACACTGAATGGAATGCTTACGTCGCAGTATGGAGATATTCACGAGCCGATTCAGGTTTTTGGACAAACTACGACTGTAGCCAAGTTTCTGAGGGATTACTTTGGATTTCATCACGATCAACTACCTGTCGTGGCTGTTATCTCAATTCTGTACCCAACTGTTTTGGCCTGTATGTTTTCATATTTTATTGCAAAGTTAAACTTCCAAAAGAGATAATCAACAATGTTGTCAAGGATTGATCAGATTCTATGGTCATTTTCATTCTGCATTGTACGCTCCTCGGCCCATGTTACTGCATAAGAAGGCAAGAGCATTGCATAAACTGTCCAAATATCTGGGCATTTCATCCATAGCTTACCAGATATGTTGCAAATTTTGCTATTTTGTGTGTATTGTATATTGACCATTGAGTGCCCTTTCTCTAGTCATTTTTATTTCCCTTCTGCATCTTAATTATTACAAACTAAAATCTTTCCATTTTTTATTAGTTAACTTCTGTATGGAGATTGGGAGTGAACAATTTCGGCCAGGTGCCTTCTTTTTCCACCGCATACGCTACCGTACAAATATGGTGGCGAGGATACGGGGCAGGAGCGGTCCTCAGACGACCGCTCCTGAACGGTCTCCTCACAATAAAAAACGTGAGGAGACAAATGAGCCAAGTCAGCAAGGCTGAAGCAGGGCACAAAAACGATGCCGTTCCAAATAAAAAAATGTTGACTTCTAAACGGGAGCAGACGGAGCAAACGGAAGAGAATTGGTTTTTGAAATTCAAGTTGAAATTTTGAATTAGCCGCAGAAAACAAAACTGAGGGAAGCGTTTTCATGTGCTTGTGAAGGTAATCTACTCTGACCAACCACTCACTGAAAGCAGAAAGCTGAAGTTCAGGTGGGATTCAACCTACTAGGTGTTTCTAGGTGAAGTGGGTGTAGTCTACTCTGATGAAGGTAGCAATTGACAGAAAAGTGGGTGGAGAGGCAGGCGGCATGGAAGAAGCAAACAGAGATGAAGCCAAAGTTTATCCGTAAAACTGAATAGCAGAAGCAGTTGTGGTCTCCAATTGGGTATAAGAGTGTTGTATGTATTCTGAATGCGTGCAAGAGCGGCGGTAAGGTAGAAGCAAATAGAGGAAATTCAGCATCTCACGAAACCAGATTTTGTCCTTCAACTTAATAGCAGAAGCAGCTACGTCTCCGACTTCGGTGAAACGTGAAGCGTATTAGCAGACCAAGGTAACATGACTGAACCATGTCAGTAATTGTGACCAATAATTTATCACCCAAATGCACATCTGTTAAAGGAAGGCTGAAATTAGAGTCACTGAAGACATAATATGAAAATGATAGAAGAATAGTGAAGTTGTACTGTATTTGTATGTGTGTACCGTATCTGTGTGTGTGTGAGCATTCAGCTTTTCAGTGATGGACTATAATGGGATAGTAGTTTTTGGAAGACCTAGGGTTATGTATTCAAGTAAACCGTCGACTGGAATTAGGGAAAGATGAGAGAAATAAAGTCACATTTAACAAGTGAATGAATATACATCCTGTTGTAAATTAGTTACATGTTATAGCCACCGTATTACAATTGATATGAATCATTGTGCATCTAGTAATTGGTCCATGCTCATGGAGCAATATTAGTTTGCCCCTCTCCTGACCATATAGTGTGTATAAAATGGAGGCGTAGAGTTGAATGAGGTGAAGCAGAGGAAAAGACACATATGTGAATAATAAATGGGTGAACCTTGTGTTGTAAGTCAATTACATGATGTAAGAAATATATTACAATGAGTAGAAAGTAGGGTTATGTATTCAAGTAAACCATCGACTAGAATTAGGGAAAGATGAGAGAAACAAAGTCACATTTAACAAGTGAATGAATATACATCTTGTTGTAAATTAGTTACATGTTATAGCCACCGTATTACAATTGATATGAATTATTGTGCATCTAGTAATTGGTCCATGCTCATGGAGCAATATTAGTTTGCCCCTCTCCTAACCATACAGTGTGTATAAAATAGAGGCGCAGAGTTGAATGAGGTGAAACAGAGGAAAAGACACATATGTGAATAATAAATGGGTGAACCTTGTGTTGTAAGTCAATTACATGATGTAAGAAATATATTACAATGAGTAGAAAGTACTTGTTTGGCCCTCAAAATGTAGAAAAAGTAGAAAATGTGGAGTTGGTTTATGCGGTTGTCATTAACGAATGACATAAGGTCCAGTAAGTTAAAGAATCTAGAATCAAAATATAATCACCAGCGTGGATGTACATACAGTTAAAATAGACTTACATCGTGTGACCAATACATTACAGTCCGTATAAGTTAGTGTACATGGAGTTGTATTTGTACATAGATAATGTCGTTGTCTTAGAGTAAAAGTAAGGTGATGTGAATCATTAATCATATTGATAAGCGTAATAATAGGATTTGGTATACGAGTAATGTGTGATTCATAACACATTATAAATGGTAATATACATTTATATTGTCGTTTATGTACATACTATTCATGAAATGTTGCAAATTAGGGTGTTTGATGCATAATTGGCAGGAGTAGAAGTAATGGATTACAGCAAATTGGCAGAAAATGGGACCCCTGAATTAGGAATGGAGTTCAACAGTGAAGAGGATGCGTACAAGTTTTACAACAAGTATGCCTTTAAAATGGGTTTCAGTGTACGTAAAGACTATCTGAATAAAGATAAAGACGGCGTGACCACGTCTAGGAGATATAGTTGCTGCAAGGAAGGTGTGAAACGCAAGTACGAAGGTGATGTGATGCCAAAGAGGACACGAGCGCCGATGAAAACAGGGTGTGGAGCTAAGATGGTTATCGTGTTGTTTAGAGGGACAATGAAGTACCGTGTGCATGACCTTGTCTTAGAGCATAATCATGAGTTGCACATTGCTCAATGTGCTCACATGATGCCATCACAAAGAAAAGTGAGTGTGGCTCAAGGATTCCAAGCTGAAATAAGCGAGGATGCTGGGCTTTCATTGAAACAGAGCCATGAGCTTATGGGAACGGAAGCAGGTGGAATGGGTAATGTGGGATATACTCGGGATGATCTTAAACGATATCTTCGAACGAGACGGGAAAGGAGCTTGAAATATGGAGAAGCAGGTAGCATGCTGAATTATTTTCAAGAGCAAACACTCGAGAATCCATCCTTTTTTCATGCCGTACAGCTGGACTGTGAAGAGCAGATAACGAATATCTTTTGGGCTGATGCAGGAATGTTAATTGACTACAACTTTTTTGGAGACGTAGTCACATTCGACACAACCTACAAAACAAATAAAGAATACCGGCCACTTGGAGTATTTGTGGGTTTTAACCAGCATAGGCAAATTGTGATATTCGGTGCTGCCCTTATGTATGATGAGACGATAGATTCTTTCAAATGGGTGTTTGGTACATTTTTAGAAGCAATGTGCGGAAAACATCCAAGTACCATACTAACCGACCAAGATCACGCCATGGCAGCCGCTCTTTCAATTGTCATGCCTGAAACATTTCACGGTCTATGTACGTTTCACATAAGGCGTAATTTTATGAAACATCTTGGCAATCACTACAAGGAAAATAGTGATCTTCCATACATGTTTGGTGCCTGCATGTATGAGTTTGAAGAAGTGGAACAATTCAATAGGGTGTGGGAGGCGATGGTGAAGAAACACAATCTTGAAAATAATGAATGGCTCTCAGGGTTGTACAAAATTCGTGATAAATGGGCAAGGTGCATGATGAAAGAAAGATGGACCGCGGGAATGCGAAGCACCCAACTCAGCGAAAGCCTAAATGCAGCAATTAAAAATCATTTGAAACTGGATCATGACCTTGTGCAGTTCTTTAGACATTTCAATCGGGTGGTTGATGAAAAGAGATATAATGAACTGATCGCAGAATATGAAATGAGGCAAAAGCTCCCCATGGTAGGGTTAAGACAAACACCTATGCTTGTGCATGCATCAGAGACGTATTCACCAACCGTATTTGTTGCATTCCAAAATGAATATGGTGAGTCAACAGCTATGGTTATATTGAGACAACAAGATGCAGCGATGTTTGTGGAGTTTACGGTCATGAGGTATGATGGAGGACCTGAAAGAACAGTAGTATTCAATCGGAATGATCTAAGTGTACGTTGCAGTTGCAAAAAATACGAGAATGAAGGCATTTTATGTGGGCACGCGTTGAAGGTGTTTGATACCGTGGGCATAAAAATAATTCCTCTTGAATACATTAAGAGGCGATGGACAAAAAGAGCTCGGGCTGGAGACTGTTTTGATCGGCGAGGACAGGAAGTTGTGACTGATCCTAAAGTCATGATTTCAACTCGTTATCGGGAGCTCGCTCCAGCCATGATTAAGGTCGCAACTCGAGCAGCAATGTCGGAGGACACCAGCAAAGTAGCAATCACTGTCATATCCGATTTGTCAAAGAGAGTTGAGCTCCTCCTCTCAGAAAGTGAAGAGCAACCTTTGCAAAATCAAAAAAATCTGAATATGGAGGAACGAGATAAAATTGAAATTGTAAATGAAATGGGGGAGGCAGTAGTCGCAAGAGGCATTAAAAAACGAGGCTGTGGGAAGAAAAGTAGAGTGATGCGAAGTTGGGTCGATAAATTTGACAGAGTAAAAAGAAAATCTAGATTATCAAGGACTACACAGACTACGGTATGGATCAAAATTTGGTACTTGGGAAACATTTATGCTAAAATTAAGTTATTGTTATACTATTAACTAAAGTTTAGGTAACATTCATTATGAAATAATATTATTACCGTGTCAATACTGTAGGTCTCAGAATCGGAGCCGACATCGGTTTCATTTGAGGAATACATGTTTATGGGATGCCGTTCATCTACTGACTCTGTTTCGGTTAGTATAAAAGGGACATGACTCTTGCTTTTATCTGGATGTTTCTAACAGCCTAAATAGTTACATTGATGTTACATTATGTGATAATGTTGTTACGGCCGTCATCCCTCCTGATATACGTATTTTATTTGTGTTATACAATGATTTTGCCCATACGAAACTTGTAGACGCATTCAATGAGTCAGACAGTGAATGGCCCTCCAAATGCTGTTGCTCCCGATATCGATGAAAATCAAACGGTATGCATACATTTAGTAGTTAAAATAAAACCTTCTTGTTCATGTAATAGAGCTACCTTTTTTTCTTTAATTGTAACGGTGAGCTCCCGAAGGCTGTCAAATCATGCAAATTATGTAATTAATGTATGCTCGCTTTAATAACGTATTATTTTTTATTATTTCAAGGTCCACCGTTTCGCTAATCAGGGGCCTCCTGCAAGTGTCCCTACAGAATGGATGCATCCCAGATTTTCTATTTTTTCCAAGCATA